CTTGAAAAAAGGAGAAAAAAAATAAAACATTTTCTTGTTTTGAGAAGAGGCCACATCATTACATGTGGTTTCTTCTTTAATATATATATAGATTTGTGCAAACAAATGAACACATTGTGAGCGCCAAAGAATGCACCATGACTAAAATGAACTTACATTTTGTGAGCACAATATGAAAATCAAATAACATACAGATACAATTAAACTAACCGAAGACATTGTGAACACCAAGTAACACAACAAACCTAAAACTAAAATTTGTGAGCATATGAAATATTCAAAGACTCCGACTCGTAATCACATTGTAAAAATATGAAATATTCAAAAAAAAAATTGATTCTAAGACGCATTATTACAATGTGAATACATAATAAATTTAACACCAAACTACAACAATTCAAAATTTTCACCTTGTAAACACCTTATTCGTTAAGCAAAATTAGACTTTTTCACCTTATTAAACACCTTGTTCTATTGTAAAGATATGAATCATTATATATTCAACCAAATTAATATCAAAATATTGTTTTTACACATAATATTATAAGCAAAGCTAGAAATGAAATACGTGCAATAACTTAGATAAATAAAATCACATGTTATTTTAGGAATTGAGGTTTAAGGAAAGAATAAATAATTAAGTAAATAAATAAATAAAATATTTTAAAGAGTTAGTGAAAAAATTAAATTACTAGAATACCCTTACATAATAAATAAATAAATAAAATCTATTATATATATTAAATGAATGGTTTAAAGTGGATGGCATAAATATCACACACATTCAAAATTTGTAACACATAAAGAAAAAATACGTTTGGAATTTCCATATTTTGTAACAAACTTTGTGCTTTTCTTCATTCGTGCGGTTTAAACCATCTCACATAACATTTATTTTACAAACAACAATGAAGGATCAGAAAACACATTAATTCGAGGAATGGTTTGGTGCAGTAAATCCTATCGATCCTTTTGCTAGGTCTCTCATCATCATCATTTCTCTACTTGTAGAACCAGTAAATACCCTTTTTCTCACCATTAACCTCCTCTGGTTCGATAAAGATGCAGTCTTTTGTCTCTCTCCAAACCGCCTCTAGAATGGGGGTATCATCGTATTTGTAGTAATCACCCAAGATCGGCATCACCGCCAGCCTTGCCTCGAAAGTATGGTAATGTGGGATGGTTGGGAACAGATGGTGTACGGCATGAGTTCGGGTTACATCATGGAAAGCATGGTTCAAGAATCCAAAGTTTCTGTCCACAGTGGCTAAAGCACCTCTAAGCCAGTCCCATTCAGTCGAATCGTAGTGAGGGATGGAAGGGTGAGTGTGATGTAGATATGTCAATAGGATGAAGAATCCACTCATAAAAAGGATGGGCATTCCGTAGAAGTTGATCACCCATTCTGTGCCCTTTATYAACGCAAGACGGTATACCCCGTACAAWGTGCCAAATACTCCAAGATCCGTGAGAAAGATCTGAAAGCGCTCGCTATCGTTGAAGATAGGACTATATGGGTAAAAGTGGCTCGTGATTCCCTTCTCGTACTTCCTTCCATAAAGATTGAACACGAAGTACAAGGGAAATCCAAGAACGATCTTGAACACAAATACTACAAAAGAGCCGAGTGGGTTGTTTAGAATTTCAGAGTACAATTTATCAGACTTGCGTTTGGGGATCCAAACCTCATCGTATTCGATGGAGTTGGTGTTAGCATGGTGGGTGCGGTGGCTGTATTTGAATCCAAAGTAGGGAGTGAGAATCAAGGAGTGGACGATGAAACCAACAGTGTCATCGAGCCATTGRTACTCGCTGAARCCATGATGGCCGCACTCGTGACCGATAACCCACAAACCCATAAGATAAGCTCCTTGGAAGAACCAATAAAGGGGCCATGCTACGTATGTAAGGGGTTTAGGGAGCACCGGAATGATAGTAGCAGCGAGATAGTATAAGACAGTGACGATAATAATATCACGGAAAAGGGCTGCAAAGGAGCGTACAAGAGATCGTTTGAAACAGTGTGGTGGAACTGCTTTCTTGAGATCACTAAGCTCGAATGGAGGCTTAGAGACAGGAACACGTTTGAAGGCGTGGGGTTTATCGGAGGCTGCAGCAACGTTCATTCGTCCACCGGCCCCCATGGTTTGGAGGTTCAAATAGAGATATAGTTATGAATTTGAAAGGGAGAGATAGGTTTTGGGTGGTGAATATAAGATGAGGTATGTTGGTTATTTATAGTGTTGGAGTTCAACCTGGGCTGCTGATATGGATTTAGATATGCAGCACTCAAAAATATTACAAGTAGTATATCTGAATGAGAGTAAGTAAAAGCATGTGACAATTATTAAAGTGTAGCAGTTAGAATTAAGACGACAGTCAATATTGGTATACTGTCCTGCTAATAACAGTACGATGTTCGGTAGGAATTAGGAAATATGATTTTAAATATTTAATTGTAATAAATAAGTAAAAAGGTATTTTAGGTTCATATATTAAACTTTATGTTAAATCAAATAGTGTTTTATGTAAACAAAAGAACAAATGTAAATTGCATACATCTATGCTGGTGCTGACTGCTGACTGCTGACTGCTGACTGCTGACTGATAATTTAAAACAGAAATACTATATACCATCCAATATTGCATTTAAATATAAAACAATAAATGATCAAACCCTCATGTAGGATTAAACTAAATTAATAACATTGTTTTATATTTTTTTAATATATAATGTTAATTAGAAAGAAAAAATATTAATTACACCATTTTGTACCATTAAGTCATGCGGTTATCATCTTGTTATATAATAAAATACGCAATTTAATTTTACACCAAAAGTTAAACAAACTAACTGACTAATTTTAATTTTTGTTCAAATAAATAAAAGACGACATAATTAAATAAAAAGTTTGTATGATAATTTTAGAAAAAAATTATATGAAAATGAAATCAACTTTAACTAAAACACTTCTATTTTAAGGAACGGATTTTGAAAATTATTATTTAAGGGTCCGGAGTAAAGTTTGCATTTATTTAATAATATGATTGAATTTTTTATTTTTATTTTATTAACCTGGATATCCAACCCGTTATACGAGCCGACTAATCCCAAAGCGACCACCTGCTTTGCAGATGGCCCGGAGTCACAGTATTCGTGGCCACAAAGGGATTTTTATTTCTTCTTGGATTTGAACCTGAGACCTCCTTCTATTTTGACATATGGAACCAAGCTCAAACCAATCATGCACCATCCTTGTGGTTTAATCTGATTGAATTGTTGACATAATATATGAAAATTGTGTAAAAATGTTTACAAATTAAATTATGTACTTTACTTGTGTTACTTATAACTATTATATGATATATAAAATCATAAAATAACTGTTGGGGACAACTTATCTAGTTATGTCATGTCCAATCCTAATCATACTAAATATAAGACAAACACTTGTTATGTGATATATGTCTAGTCCTACCCTCTTATGTTGTCCAGTTTTTGTGTTATACAATCATGTCTACATACCAAACGCTATACAAATTAATAACCACAAACTTTACTCCAAACTTTTAAATGAGGATTTCAAAGGTTCGTTTCTCAAAATAAAAAAACAGATCAAAATTGATTTCATTTTCATATAATTTTTCCCATAATTCTATAAGCATAAAATAAATAAAAGAGAGCCGAAAATAAGCATCGCGACACAGGCCTTATGCCACCCACCGTGACCGCACCATGTTTTAGAGACGTAATAAATTCTGATACACAAACCATGGTGGACCACACAATCCATACAAATAAATAAATAATGACCATCTATAACATTAACAACCTCCTTTTTAACTCATCCAATTAAAAAATTATATAAAAATTCATAATAATAATTTCTACAAGTCACTTTACTTTTTACTTATAAGAACCTTACATCAGAGATGCTTTAAGCAAAACAATAAAATTAGTACTAAAAACTTACAAAAACTAATTACTTTTCTCTAAATGATTTACAATAATAGATACAAACAAAAACAAGGTAGTTTATTCAAGCATCTTAAACATGCCAGTAGGTCACAATTTTTTAATTGATATTATTTCTTCCAAAATTATCATATGACTTTTTATTGTTTAATTAAAAAAAACCTCATAACTAATTACTTCATTAATTAAATTGAGGTGTGTAACATAAATAATATTATATTTTAATATGAATTTCAAATAAAAGAAGGTTAAAATTGATGAGAAGATAAAAAAGAAAGGTTAAAAGATGGTTCATATGTGAATCATTTTACTTAAAGATGCATATGTAAACCCATATGAATAATTTGTAATCTTGATTCTCTTTTTCAAATTTTTACAATGATTCACATACAAATATCTTCTTAAATAATAATATAATGATTATTCAAATAATATAAAAATTAAGAACAAAATTGGTTAATATTAATATAATGTTTATTTATAAACTTAAAAATATGTAATTATTATTAATAGAAAGTTATTTAAATAGAATCACCTGTATAATATGTTATTTAATTAATATTGTTTTTTATTAGAATTTAATAAAATTATATATTTAATGGATGATGGATGGCATTTTAGAAATTATTTAGTAAGTGTTAATTTGTCTGTTAGTTGGTCACAAAAGGCCAAAAACGTGGTTGTTTGGCAGGGGATATGAATTTGACGATTAAAGTCAGGAGAATGGTCAAGTATGACGCTGTAACTATTGTCTAAATAGTTCAAACACTTTCCTAGCAATCCCTCCCAATTCAAATAAACCCTACATTTATTAATTTACATTTTTATCCATCATTTTTGTTATTTTTAACCGTATATTTTAGAACTAGTTTAAGTGTACCGACTAGTAGTCATCGTAGGTGAACCTTCATGACCACAAGACTTTTGGGAAGGTCTAGATACGAATTCAGGCTAAATGAGATTTTCCATTATATCCTCTGAGTCTTAACCAGTATGCCACAACCTCTGTGGTTAAATGATTGTTTCTATTGCAATATATGTAATCTTTCGATAATGATTAGTGACAAATATTCAAACTTTTTTATTATTTATTTGATATTTTTCTACGTCATCAGGATTACTGGAAGATGTTTAAGTTTTTTTTTATTTAATATTTCTCTACATTTGTCAGTGATTAATAAAAGATTATTAATGGATGCTTAAAAAATTTATTTTTTATTTGATATTTTCTACACCCATCGGTGATTACTGATTAGCGAAAGATTACTGGTGGATATTACACTACTACACAAATGCAAATATAACCCAGTGCTCGGAAAAAATCGGGTGCTATATAAAAACAACAGTTTTCCTACCTGGTTAGAATATAGACGGGTTCTATTTCTATTTATAAATCTATTTAGTATAACTATTTCTCTAGTAGTGTTAAAATATCTATAATTTTTTATTTGGTAAGTTTCCATACACAGTTGATCGATAATTCATTGTTAATCACCAAACATTTAACAACAGATGATTTAAATTTTTAGTTTTCCTTTTTCTTAGACCATGTTTTCTAGTATTTAATAAGTTTCCATACACAATTGGTCGATAATTCAGTGTGAATCATCAAATGTTTACCAACCGATGATTTAAATTTTAGTATTCGTGTTTCTTAAACCATGTTTTTCTAGTAGCTCGATGATTCGTCTATAAGCGTGTACTATGCTGACATATATGAAAGCCATCGATACAAATTTTTAAAAACAAAAAGGGTCAACATTGTTGAAAATCTGCTATTTAATAGCATTGTTTATTTAAATTACTTCTCTCTAACATTTGTTTTTGATCTATTTTCAGATAATTGTACACATCGTTTCTTTAAACAACCGCTTTCATTGCGTTTTTTAATTTATTTTTTGCAAGTCGTGGCGAAAACATCTCTACCGTTTTGAATTAATGTTGATTAAAGGCAATGTATGCATATTTCTTACCACATTAGACCCTTGTATGTGTCGAATTTGTTGGCTAATTAGTTTGTTTTAGTTTTGTTGTGTAATGAATAATAATGAAAATTAGAACATAAATTTGTTGAAACTTGTTAATAATTAACATTAGTTATATTAATGTCTTACAGAAAATTTCATGGGTTAGTCCGGTTATACCTTAAACGCATCGGTCGTGCGGACTTTTCGAAAAATATCGGTCTGAAAACTTGTTTTCTCTATCAGAATCGTCTTTGTTAGTGTTAGAAAGGGCTATTGTGTAGTTCCGTGGCAATCAAACATGATTTGAGCGGGTTTTGATGACTAGCATGACGCACGTTCGTTCGTTTCGACCCGAGCTGAGCTTTGACAATTTCTAGCAGAAGAAAAACATATTTCTTTCGAGTTTTTTTTTTCTGGTGCAAAACTTTGCATTAACATTGCGAATTGCTCACGCAACATTTCTTTGTAATCCGACAATAATAACAAATCTATAACAACAATGCTCTTAAAGAAATTCATAACTTATTCGATCAATCATACAAGAGTGTTTGGTCATGACTTAATGATATAATAAATGGTTTATTTAGTAAGCTTCTACAGGTAAACTTTACGTAAAAAATTAAGTATTTTTTTTTATATAATACCCTTCCCAATTAAAAAACCATTTCAAACAAAAACCATCCCAATTTACAAATACATATTAACAGACAATTTATTTTTAAATCCTATCATTTGATAAAAAAAAATGTTAAAATTTTTATTTTGAAATCAGTTATCACAGATTTTGTAACATTCTCTAATTATGGTTGTTATTTGATTTAATTCATTTGTCGATAATCAAAGATGGTTAAAATATAAGGAAATTGTAATGGGGATCCTTTGTCCCACATGTACAAGTAGTGATCCTAAAAAACATTATTTTTCTCGAAAACAATACGTACAGCGGCACATGGAAACAAAAACGCAGTAGGTTATTGGACCACACCCATATTATAAATACAACTTAATCATTAAAACCTCAAATGGAATTTTTTTTTTTTTTTTTTTTTTGAAATAGGCACACAATTTAGCCGATGCACGGGCAAGGGTGGGCACGACGTGCAGGAACGGGCATGCGGCGTGCGGGAACGGGCTTCCCGTGTCCGGGAAACGGGCACGACGTGCGGGGAACGGGCGACGTTCTCGTGATCGAGGCACGACGTGGGGGCTTGCGTGCTGAGCATCACGCATTT